AGTCATTAATCAGAATGGATACTGCAGTCAAGGATTTGGAAGGGCAACTATGAAGGAACTGGACAAGATCCTAAAATGTAAAGATATGTCATTGGATACCGAAGTTAGGACTATCAATGCCATTGGATTTCTCATTTCTGTGCATGGATGTGAAAGCTGGACAGTAAAGCAAGCTGATAGGAAGAAAATCAACTCATTTGAACTGTGGTGCTGGAGAAGAGTTCTGCAGATCCCATGGACTAAAAAGACAAATATGTGGGTACTAGAGCAAATCAAGCCTGAACTCTCCCTAGAAGTCAGGATGACTAAACTGAGGCTGCCGTATTTTGGCAATATCATGAAAAGACATGACTAACTTGAAAAGACAATAATACTTGGCAAGATAGGAAGCAGTAGGAAAGGACTGCATTGCAGATGGGTAGACTCAATCAAGGAAGCCATGAACCTGAATCTGCAAGACCTGATCAGAGCTGTTGATGATAGGGTGACTTGGAGGTCTTTCATTCATAGAGTCACCATAAGTAGAGGTTGATTTGAAAACAGTTAACAACAACAATGTGCATTTTTATATATGCAGTGTTGTCTTTACAGTTTGTGTATAGTTTTAAAAAAATATTTTTTACGTTTTTAACATTATGAATTGATTGTTCATAAAATAAATTGTATATTTATGCTTTTATTGATGTTTTTGTATAGTTTTAAATCTGTATTGCTTTTAATTATGCTGTTAGCTCAGGGTTCCCATTCTGTCCAAATTCTGGCTTGTTATGGTGGATGACAGAAATTCATTTCTTTCTCTCAATAAAGTTGGATCCTTGATTAACTAGAATGGTCTGCTAAACTTTCCTCATGCAGGAGGGATAATCAATTTTCCTTCAGTATTTCAGGAAGGAAGATGTTTTCAATGGTGAGCAGGACAATACTGACACTTGGCTCATGAAGCTACCAATTGCTTTAAAAAGGGGACGAAGAGTGGTGAAAAATGTGGTGAAGAGTCCTATTCCTCAGGTACCTTGTATTATCATCTCCCCTTCTCAAAATGCTGCAAATTGTTTATGCTGCCCCTTTCTGTCCCTTTTAGCAATAATCACCAGCCCCCTCATCTTCACAATGTGAATTTAAAAAAAAAAAAGATTTAAAGTTAAATACAACATCCTTGTTGACTCAAATTTGATCTTAAGCTGACCAAAAATGTGTAGCATCTCCCCCATGTGGATCATAATTCAACAAGAGGCAAAAATGATACCAGATCCATCATAGTTCAATTAAATCCATCACTGTGGTTCCAGCAATATATAGTCAGGCCTGAGAAAGTTACTTGCAGAGAGCTGACAGGAAGAAAATTAAAGCATTGGAATTGTGGTGCTGGAAGAAAATTCTGTGGATAATAAAGACTGTCCAAAAAATGAATAAATGGGTCCCCTTAGAGCAGGGGCAGGCAACCTTTCTGAGACCTGAGCTGGTCTCCCATAGCCTAGGTCTCGGCTGGGCCGGGGGGGGGGG